CTACTTCAGTCACAGCGTGACAGAAGAAATTTAAAATATATTTTATTTATTTATTTTTACAAATAAAGTGGAGAGTGATATACCTTTGCATTTATTTCTTGCATGATGGACAAGGGGACCATAAAATTCCTAATTTTATGATAAATTCCATAAGTTTGCTTGATGAGCTCCAAATTATCCATGTTTATTAATTGAGTAACATATCATTTTTAATGCCCTACATCTTAAAAGAATCCAAATCCTCTCGTGATGGTGAAATTACCATGTTGTCCCTCCCATAGTTGACCTGTCCCAACCCCTCTTCATTTTATTTTTAAATTATTAGATCCAAATCATAATATATTTTATTTTATTTAAAAAAAAAAATTGGTCTAAATTAGTATTTTCAATAAAGTCCAAAGGAATATTAATTATGCTCTTCAACTCTCTAAAATTTGTACCAGAACTAAAAAATGAAGCTATTGGATGATGAAAGTCTCACACCTGTTAATTTGAGAGAGAATGATCATGAGTTTCTAAACAAATAATACTCTTTCAGTAGACAATATCATATCATTGTAGAGGGTCGTGTTCATCTAACAGCCGTAACTTCCAATTTCTTTGTTTCATTTCGGGCCAGAAACACCACCAAACAAAGTTTAAAAATTTACACAAGCTAAGGCAGAGAAGAACACACACACACACAAAAAAAAAAAAAAAAAACTAATTCAGACAGTGAAAGCCAGAGAGCTCTGTTTTTCAGGAAATATTGCTTGCCGGAACCGAAATTACAGTACCGGGATGGACTTTTTTAATGGTTATTCCGGCGAAAGCGCCGCCGTGATGGGCGGTTTTTGAAGGTTTGACCAAGTCTTCCCTTCTCCCAGCTTTCTCCTGCTCCATCCTCTGAAGTTTCTCCTCCACTTTCTTCTTCATTACATAAACCCTAGCGCAGCTCGCTCCGATGGACGACATGGTTCCTTACAGTGCCCTTTTTCCTCTTCTTTCTTTAATCGGTGTGTTTCAAGGCCTTAAACCCTCCCGGTATTTATAGTGGCAGCTTGCTTGGAAGGGGCCAGGGGGGCTTCCCTTTGGCCACCTAGTTAATTCGGATCAATTAATTTAGATTTATTTATTTCATGTTAATATCTAATATATTAATTTATTTAATTAAATTTAAAATTATGATGAAGGATAATTAATAATTCATAGATGCTCAATAATGCAAGTCAATTAATTTTTAATTCCAGCGTGGAGAAAACGGTTGAGAGACGGCCACTACCGTTTACCGTTTACCAGAATGGTTTTGAAAGTACACAGAATGACGGACAAAAACGGTGGGGGAACCTCAATCTCTCTCTCTCTCTCTCTCTCTCTCTCTCTGGATATTTGGAAATATTGGGTTTCTATTCGGTGCGGCACTCACACAACGCGTATTGTGAGGACGCCGCGTCAGCATAAAGATATTTTTTAATACAGGCGGCCAAAGTTGCGCTTACTTGTCAGATACTTACTGGCTAAGACTCCGAGGTCATAATCGGAATTGTGGACTATGGAGACACTTTATTTATTTATTTATTATTTTATAATTTTTTTTCTTAAAATTATTTGATTTGACATTATTTGAAAGCACTTAGAAAAAGTTTTAAAAGTCCAATTTTCATTTGCACCCACTCAATTTTTGCCGACGGGTTTATAATTATGATTATTTTCATATTTTATTAAAAAAAATAGTTTTTATAATAATAATAAACTAAATGACTCATAATTGTAAAGGTAAGAGTCAAATTAAGACTAAGAATAAATTTTGATGATGTAATCATTCTTTTTTTTTTTTTTAATTTGAAATAATTAAAAACGATAAAAGAAATTGGGATTATTATTATTATTTAGGAGATGGAGAAATCAAGTACGCCTGTTACGGAGTACGGAATTTCCATTAAGGTGATAAAGCATCGTGAATTAGATGAGGTTGTCTGCCTTTTTCTTCTTTTTCTTCACTT